CAAGCCAAGAATTTTGGCAAAGAGCTCCATCTGGCTAGAGGTAGAAAAGTCATTTTATTCACTGCAAGAATGTATTGTCTGCCCACCGTGTGGTATCTACATGGACTGAATGTACCCAGAAGAGATTCCTTTTTTCCTATTTGTTCAAATACAAACAGATCAGCTATAGCTCTGTGTGTGTCTATCTCTGAGAGCTCTATAAAAGTAAACACTATAATACTTCTTTTATTGTGCCTGTTTCCCCAATACTCAGCATACTGCCTGGCCCATAAGTAGATGTTCATTAATATTTGTTTAATAAATGAAAGAATAATCTTCAGACACAAAATGACAGATAATTACTTTATTTAGGATGTTTAGGAATTTTGTTTTGTTTACAAAATACCTTCCAGTTTCTAAGATGCAAGCTGATTCTTTGACTTGGTAACCAAAGGCAGAGGGTATTGTTTTACTAATTGGCCAAATTTCTAACGAGACTCCTGGGATGGAGTTTCAAACTATTTGTGCCCTCTGTACCCAGAAACAGCTCTCAAGGGGAAGTTTTCTATGTTCTGGAGCCAATGTATCTACTTCTTCAGGGATAATCACCCGGGAGTTGGGTTTCCAGAGATTTCAAATGTGTGGGAAGACTCTCGCGGGCCTGGGGTACCAAAATGCTAGTCTTGAATCTGTCACTAAACTATAGGCTTCCTTAAGACACTCAGAAGTGTCAACTGCCTAGGCTTGGGGTTTTCAGTTGCTCCCAAACTGGCCTCTGGGAAAGAAATTCATCCCTGTACTTCTTTTTTTCAATTTCAGATATACCAACTCCTGAGAGACTTTCTCATATTGCCAACTTTACAAGAAGTAAGTGGTTGTTGGTAGAAAAGAGAGAGAGAGAGACAGAGAGAAAAATTGACTTAAAATTTTTTCATTTTCTTTCTTTTGCTAGTCTGGTGTTCTGATGATTTTCTTGGCACTAGAGTTTTGTGCTTCCTTTATATCTTATACAATGGCTGATTGGGACCAAGTGCCTGTAAGGTAGAATATAGTATTCTCACAGGCTTTGTTTCTAAGTGATGGAAGAATCTAGAAGAAGTCACAGAGAGGACAAGACAGCCCGCACCCAGAATTCTTGTCTGTGTAGATGTCCCTGTAATCTTTTGAATCAGTAAGATTGAGTCAGGCATTGTTCATACAGCTGCTGTCTCCACCTCTAGCTTTACCACCTTGTTTGAATTTTCGTTCAGTAGGATTTTGATTTGATTGAAATGCACAGGATGTAGTTAGGCACACCTGAGTTTCATACTTGGCCTTGCCAGTTAATAATAGTTACTTAAGTCTGACAAATAGTTTATTCCAATAAGACTCAATATCTCCAATATAACAATTCCAAATGAGATACATCAAATTTCCTAATGTCTTCCTAAAGAAGGTTCATTCACTTCCTTGTATTAATGTCTCATCTATCAGTAACTAAGCTGAAATAGAATTGCTTCTTCCAGTACTGAGATTTTTCAGCAATAAAGGGCTCAGGGTTAAGAATCAAGATAGTGGGATTTCTCAATTAGCACTGCGCCATGAACTAAGTGTGTGATGCTAGGCAACTCCTTTATCCTATTTGAGATTAAATTTCTTCATATTTCTAACACATAGTTACTTTTGAGTAGCAGATTTACTATTAATTTGAGTAACAGAGGAAGCTGTTACATGCAAAAAGTCATATATATGTCTATCTTTTTAGACAAAAGAGTTGTGTATCCAAACATAGATTGAGTGTTGGAAAACAAACTGAAGATTAATTGTGTATGTCCCTTCTGAATGCTAATGGCTTGCCAACACTTCGTTCATCTATCCATCTTTTCCTAACTATTCTTCTATGCCTCCTCTCTGGCAGCATTTCAACCTCTGCAACTTAATGAGCTCTACAGACATTACCCTGGGCTCTCAGTTATGCCAGGTTTTCTTCCTCTTGCTTAGGTGCTTCATATGCTCCATATGCCTGCAGAATCCTGGAAGAAAGAAACCACATTCTCTTCCTCTCACTGCCTTGTGTCTTTGAAGTCTAGATTCTCACTTAAGTGTTGTTCTGTGTGCCTGATACAGTGCTTCTGTGCTCATCCGGCAGAGTTATGAGTCTCTTCCTTTAGACTAGAAGTACCTCAGAAGCATCCCTTCATTCATTGGTGTATATAATTCATACTTATCAAATGCCTAAGATATGGCAAAAATTAGGCTGGACCCTACAGATGTGGAATTGAATAAGTATGACTTCTGCATCGAAGAGCTTACAATCTATTTGACAGATCACGTGACAATTTCATTTGTGATGTGATAAGTACTATCAAATAATAAATGAAATGCCCTGAGAACTAAGATGAGAGAAATACATAGATGGAGAACTATAACTGAAATAGTCTCAAAGGACACTTAAAAATAACTGAAACTACCTCTCATTCTACCTCATAAGTAATACATATTCATTGTATTTCAGATCTCTGTTTTCTTCAATTAGTGTGATTGTTTATCCCTGTGCTAATCCTGTACCTTCTTAATTGCTATAGCTTATGATAAGTAACTATTTGAAAGACAAATCCTCTCCTTTTGTTTTGTTTTTTTTCTCTGAGTGTTTTGGCTACACTTGGAGCTTTGAACTTCTATATAAATTTTACTATTAGTTGTCAATCCAACAAACCATCAAATCAATCCATATGGGATTCTGGATAAATTACATTGAGTCTATAGATCAATTGTGGATTAACTGAAATTTTCATGCTATTATCTTCCAATCCATAAACATAATAATTTATTTTAATCTTCTTTAGTGTTTTTCATTAAGGTTTTGTAATATTCTCCATGAAGGCCTTTATTCATGTGTACCTTATATTTTTGAAGCCATTATAAATGGTAACTCCTTTAAATTTAATTTGCTATCAGCTCACTGAAGTAGAGAAATGAAACAAATTTTTATAAGAAAGCTTGTTAAACTTCTGTAATAATTCTGATAATTTATCAGTAATTTCTTTTGCATTTTCTACGGACACAATCCATGAATAATGTCAGCTTCATTTTTTCCTTCTCAATCCTTATATCTTTAATTTCTTTTTCTTTGCTTTACTGGGATGGCTGGAATATTCAATACAAAGTTGAAGAAAAGAGCATAAGCAGTTGCCCTTATCTTGTTTTAATCTTAAAGAAAACCATTTGGTATCTTACCTCTATGTATGATGAGGGCTGCCAAACCACAGTACACACATTCTACAAGTATAAAGAAAATCTTTTGTTCATGGATTTCTAAGAGTTCTTCATAAAGAAGACACTAAATTTTAAAAAGTTTTGTTGGGCAGCTTTTGAAATAATCATATCACTTCTTGCTTTTTATTTTAAAAAGCAAAACAGAAAACAGGATAGAAACCATACAGAATTTCCAAAAAGAGTAGAAAATTAACACTAGTCAATATATTGCATATTGTTATGTTAGAAGTAGTTGTTCAGGTTAAAAGAGTAATAAGATCCGAAAACTACAATAAATATGACAATGAAAGGGAAAGAAAGTGCTCAAAAGGAAATAACAACTGGACAGGAGGACAGAAAGAAGGAAGAAGGAAAAAGATTATATGCATATAGGTATACATATATATACATATGTATGTGTATGTATATGCAAGATAGATAACTATACTACTAATCTCTGATAGTCATCCAAAAGAACAGTTGGTACTTTCATTGTTTGATTAGTTTTTTCATGCCTAAATCTTGTGACTTTTTCCCTTTAAACTGTTTATTTGAAAAAATATAAAAGTGGATCATCTTAATTTTAAATGAATTTCCCATTCTGAAATAAAGCCATGTTTGTCATGTACCCATTTATCAAACCTGTTTGATAATAATTTGTGCAAGAATTTAGCTTCTATAATTGTGAGATTGACCTATGTTTGATGTGAAGATAATTCTAGCTTCTAAAATGAGGTAGAGAATATTCTTTCTTTTTGTACTACTTAAAATAGTTTATGCAATGTTAGAATTAGTTTATCCTTGAGTGTTTTATAACACTTCTTGATAAAAGTGTCTGGGTTTAGTGGCTTGTTTATTTATAGTTTTTAACAGTTCCCTTTGTTTCTTAAAGCAGTTACAAGGATTTTTAGTTTTCTAATTCTTTTTTATTGGTAATAATTTTTTCACACAAATGCATCTATTTTACTACTAAAATATAGTAAGATAAGGTTGCTTGTAATATTATTTTTCATCTTTTTGTGTTTGAAACTTCTGAATTATGCTTATTAATTCACAATAAAGTTCATTTTTATTTTTAATTTTTTGTCTTGCTATATTTCACTAATTGGCCTAAAATTTATAAACTTACTTTTACAGATCTCTATTTTATCCATCCTTTGTATTTGTAAATTTTATTTCATTATTTTCTTCTTTCTACTTTGTTTTTAACTTATTAGGATGGGTGTTCTAATCAAGCAAACATTTCAAACTATGATTTTATCTCTCATGGCTCACATGCATTATGCACATATTGTTATGCAGTTTCTTATATTGTTTGATTCTAAATGTATTATTATAATATCATTGTGAGTTTTTCTTTTGACTGTGGATTAAATTATCAAAATATGCGATTTTTCAGGTTATCAAGGGGTTTTAGATAAAATTTCTGACTTAATCACATTATAACCTAACAATGTGGTTATCTTTTAAGAAAATATACCTTTTAAATTTTTGAGACTTACTTTATGATCATATATGATTAATTTTTAAATGATTCAAGTGTATCTGCAAAAATGTCCTATGTCAAACTTTCAAGTAATGCTGCTCTAATTCTGTAAATCTTTATTTCCATTACAAACATCTAGTCTATCACGTCCCCAACAAGGAGAGTTAATCTGTTGCGATTTGAACTGAGTCTTCACTGTATGGCGTCTTTGCTCTCTGAGCAGTGTACTCAAAGTCAGGGCAGTCTCTGGTGGAAAGAAATAGTGTTGACCTGTCTTTACCTTTCAGATCTGAAGAACTCAATGAAGACAGCCAATTGCAAGGAGATTAAAGAGTTTGTTTTCCAAGGGTTCTCCAATTTCCAAGAACACCAACTCACACTCTTTATGGTCTTTCTTGCCTTATACATCCTAACTCTGGCTGGAAATATCATCATTGTGACTATTATCCGCATTGACCACCATCTCCATATTCCTATGTACTTCTTCTTAAGTGTCCTCTCCACCTCAGAGACTTTCTACTCCCTGGTCATTATCCCACGCATGCTTTCAGGCCTTGTAGGTCTGAGCCAATCCATCTCCCTGGAGTGCTGTGGAACTCAGCTCTTTTTCTTCCTTGGCTTTGCTATCACCAACTGTCTCTTGCTGGCAGTAATGGGATATGACTGCTATGTGGCCATCTGCAACCCTCTTCGCTACTCCATCATAATGAATTGGAGAGTTTGTATCATGCTGGCATCCTCAGTGTGTGCTACAGGGTTCTTGCTTTCCTTGCTTCAGGCTGTGGTCATTTTCAGGCTGCCCTTTTGCAGCTCACTAATTGAGCACTTCTTCTGTGATGTTCGACCTGTTTTGGATCTGGCCTGTGCTATCCCCATCATCAATGATATCCTGACCTTAATTATCAGCCTCCTGGCTATCACAGCCCCTTCCACTTTCCTTTTCATCTCTTATATCCTCATTATTTCCACTATTTTCAAGATTGCCTCAGCTGAAGGCCGAAAGAAGACTTTTGCTACCTGTGCCTCTCAACCTCATTGTGGTTATTGTCCACTATGGCTGTGCTTCCATTGCCTATTTCAAGCCTAAATCAAAGAATACCAAAGATCAGGATCAGTTAATCTCAGTGACCTACACTGTAATAACACCTTTACTAAACCCTGTTGTGTACAGTCTGAGAAATGAGGAAGTTCAGGATGCTCTGTGTAGAGTGGTGGGTAGGAAATCCCTTTCTTAAAATGATAATCTCTATTCAAACAACAGTGTCGTGCTCCAGAAGGAAGCTTATAGGTAAAATTATACAGTCAGGATTTCATGTGGTTAGTGAAGTTTAGTACATTACAGCCAAGGCAAAAGTGAAGCTGTGAATTTAACCTCTAGTAACGGATTCTCACTTCCTCCACCTTTTTTGTTATCTTAATAAAAACACAGGTCTCTTTCCAGACCCATACACAGACCGTCATTGGCTCTACTCCAGAAGATAATTATAAGATCAAAGTGTCATTTCGTGTTCATTTCAAGCTTAAAGATAGCTCTTCCACTTTCCTGAAATATAAGCCACATTAAAAACATTTCCTCACAAAATCTTCTTTTAACATAAATTGACTAAGTAGTTACAAGGAAATATAGGTTCAGAAATCCTATTGCCTTATGTTTTAATAAGATAAGCACAGCAAACATAGAGACATGGCTTAAGAAATGGATTTAGAATAAGCCCAAAACTTTCCACAGAGAATATTTCAAACATTCTACTGTAATTGTTCTCCCGGTCACATGTGGATTTTCAAGTGAAAAAGGATTTGGGGGTGGGGCAAGGAGTGAAGGGGAAGCTGAGTGGAAACACCTCCTGATCAGCATATGACAGCCTCGCAGCTCTGATCATGTGAACAGAACTCAAGTGACTCACGCGGATGCTTTGCTTCTTCTGGCTGAAGATAAGCAATATGAGGAAGGTTCTGTGGGCTGAAAAAATGCCTTTTGTGTTATGGACAATATAAACAAGGGGCTCTCTTGAGGAAGGGGAGACTGCTGAGGAAGATTGATGGAAAATGCTATGAAACCCATTAAGAAGGAAAGAAGCAGAAACAGACCCAAATTGCAGCTTTTAGTGCAAGGCAAGCAGAGGGAGACAGAAGAACAAGGTGAGGGTCAAGCTGAATAAGAATTTAGAAAGACTTCTGATTGGATCCTCTCCCTCCCAAATCAAAAAGCAAGCAAACAGAATTAAATAGAAATGAGAGTCAATATTACACCTTTCTGAAAAATCAGGAAATTTTGTTGCTTTTGAAAAATTGAACAAAGTAAATAGTAAGGAATTCTGACATAAAAGTTCCATAAAATTAAATCAACTGATTAACAAATGGAACAATAAGGACCTATTTATTGTTCCCCTTATCCAAAAATTAAAAGAATAAGAGTAAATTTTAGACTTAATTTATGAGACAAAATAAGTGATGAACAGAAATAGATTAATAGTTGTAATTACTAACAAAATCAAAATTATTATACTGAGAAATTTTTTTAAAAATACGTAAGAAACCCATGAAGTACATAAAATTCTCCTTGTAAAATATTTCTAAGACACAGAAAAATCAAATGAAATGTGTACAATATTTGTGAACTTTATATACTGTATATGAAAGTACATAAAAATCTAAAAATGTTCCACCAGTTTACTTTAATTCTGAGTTCCTAAATCACTTGACAGAAAAAAAAAAATCTGGGTTTCTTTATGTTAACTCAAGCAATTAATGATTAGTAAGTCAAGAAATGAGCAAAAACTGTAAAATCCCCCTTCTTTACATTTTCCTTCCCTCATTATCTTTGGAATCAATTAAATTCCGGTCAAGGCTTCATTTGCTTACTCTGGACACAAGAGAACCTTATCTAGATAATTTCAACCTCCACTTGATGGAATCCATGATGATACCATAACCCAGTGGCCATCTTTTTTACAGTCTATTGAGAGGACTCCAGTATTTCCGTCTTCTTTAACCAGTGTGGTCCCTTTACTTTGCATCTTGCTTGTGACCCCCTTGAAGCCTCACTGGCTCCTCAGTCAACTGTTTCTTAAAGGAAGCCAGATATTCTGTTAGGGAGTAAGTAGGGCTCAGTGTGGTGTTATCCCATTATTCCACCTCACCTACTTCTGCTCCATTAGAATTCAAATTGTTTAAGGAGTCCTTTGGGAAGTTAGAGGCATACCTCCTTTGCTTTTATCAGGGTTTAAGTGGAAAAGGAATGACAGTAGGCCTTTCACAGTGTTTAACTCTGATGCTGTATCTCTCAAGGATGGATGCCTTTATTTTGTTTTGGCAGAAAAGAATTCTAAATTTTTCACAATTCTGTAGTCCTCTCATTTATTTCACATATGGGATATTTTAGTACTGAGGCTCTTGATACTCAAAAGCAATCTTTGTAAACTGAAAAACATTTCCTAGAAAAGTTTGCTAATTTAAAAACTGTTTTAACTTTCAATAAAAATGTTTTCAGTTATGAGATTTTTCAAAAAATTCTTTTGAGTTGAATTTCTGCAGTCTTGATTATTATATGTCTGGGTGGAGATCTGTTTTGGTTGTAGCTGGCTGGAGTTCTGTATGCCTCATATATCTGAATATCATTTCCTTTTCCTATGCTTGGGAAGTTTTCCTTAATTATTTCTGTGAATAGTCTTTGTATTTCACTTGTGTTTATCCCTGCTTCTTCATTCATATTTTTTATTCTCAAGTTATAACTCCTGTCATCTTCTAGCCTTTGTATTGTTACTTCCCGTTACCTTGTTATTTTTAAGAGATCTTTCCTTTCACAACCACAAATTGAAAACCTGTCTTTAAGTTTTGATAGTCTATCTTTAATTTCTTTAAAGCAGTTTTGCCAGCTTTCAATGGAATTTTTAATTTCTTGGTAGCCTCTTTGAATCTGTTTCATGTATTCTAGATTGTTTTTATATTCTTCATTGAAGGTTTCCCTCCTTTTTCTGTGCTCCTCCATTCTTCCTTCTGTGTCTTCTTGAGAAGTGCTTAGCATTTTTTTTTATTATTGCTTTACTTGCATTAGTATTTCTATTTTGAAATTTCGTTCTTCTATAATGTCATGAACATAAATGCAAGTAAATGCAAACGAATTGATTTAATGCATATTTTCTGACTGTAGTGCACTGAAATTGGAAATTATTGGCAAAAAACTGCAAAAACTACATAAACATATGGAAATTAACTAACATCTGCCTGAATAACCAATGGGTCACAGATGAAATTAAAGAAGAAATTAATATCTACAATTAAATGAAATTACAGATACAACATACTGGAAACTGTGGGATGCAATGAAAGCAGTCCAAAGAGGGAAATATATGGCAGTGAATTCTCACAGCAGGAAGACAGAACAAGCACAATAAGCAACTAATGCTGTGCCTCAAGCTTCTAGAAGAAGAGCAAGTCAAGCTCAAAGCTCAAAGAAGGGAGGAAATTATAAAGAAAAGAGAAGAAATTAGTGCAATTGAGACTCAGAAAATAATACAAAGAATTCATGAATCAAAGAGTTGGTTCTTTGAAAGAATAAACAAGTTGGGGCTGGGAATTTAGCTCAGCAGCATAAGCACCTGCCTGCCTCGCTTTCATGAGTTCGTTCCCCGGTACAAAAAAAAAAAAAAAAAAAAAAAAAAAAATTGATAAAACCCTAGCCAACCTTATCAAGAAAAGGAAAGAAAACACTCAAATTCATGTAATGATAAATTAAAAGGGTAAAATCATGATAGATTATGTGGAAATTCATGTCATCAATGCCTACTTCAAAAATCTTTACTCACATAGGATGGAAAACACAGAAGAAATGGACAGATTCCTAGATATATATGACTTACTAAAGCTGAATCAAGAAGGGATAAAAATTTTGAATAACCCAATATCAGTTGCTAAAATTGAAAATATAATTAAAAATTTAGTAACAAAGAAAAATTCAGATTTCCATGGATTCACAGCTGTCTTCTACAAGAAACTTAGAGATTTAATGCCAATACTCTTCAAACTGTCTAATGGAATTGAAAGGGAATCAATGTGCCCTAACTCATTTTTGGAGACAAGTATTTCTCTGATATCAAAACCAAAGAAAGACCCAATCAAAAGTGAGAGATACAAGCCAATCTCCCTAATGAACATAGATGCAAAAATCCTCAATGAAATACTGCAAAGAGAATGCAGCAAATAATCAAGAGGATTATTCACCATGACCAAATAGGATTTGTCCCAGGGTTGCAGGGATGATTTAACACACAAATCAGCAAACCTAATACACTACATCAACAGAGCCAAAAATAAAAATCATATGATCATCTCAATAGATGCAATAAAAATGCTTTTGATAAAGATCAACACTATTCATGATAAAAACTAGAGAAAATCAGAATAGATGGTCTCTATCTCAATCTGATAAAAGCCATATATTAAAAACCAACAGCCAACATCATATAAATGGTAAAAAAATGAAGGCTTTCTTTGTAAAATCAGGAAGAAGACAAGGATTTCCACTATCATCACTCCTATTCAAGATAGCTTTGGAAATACTAGCCAGAGAAATTAGAAAAGAGAGAAAGAAAACAAATAAGAATAGGATAGAAAGAAATTAAATTATCATTATTTGCAGATGGAAGCCCCAAAAATTCCACCAAAAGATTCCTAGAGTTCATAAGCAAATTCATCAGTGTAGCTGAACAGAAAGTCAACACTCAAAAATCAATAACATTCACATACACAAACAACAAGCTCGCCAAGACAGAAATTAGGGAAACAGCATATCTCACAATAGCATCCAGAAAAAAAGAAATATTTAGGAACTGATCTAACAATAGTTGTAAATGATCTATATATTGAAAATTACAGTACTCTGAAAAAAGTTATTAAATAGGATATCAGAAAATACAAAGATATCCCTTGCTCATGGATAAGAAGAACAAACATTGTGAAAATGGCCATACTCCCAAAACTGTCATTCAGATTTCATGCAGTTCCAATCAAAATACCACTAGTGTATCTCTCAGATCTAGAGAAAACATTCCTAAAATTTATTTGGAAACAGAAGAGACATAGAATAGCACAGGCAACCTTGGATAACAAAGGCATGGTAGAAGGCATCATAATTCCTGACTTGAAATTACATTGCAAAGCCACTGTTACAAAATCAGCATGGTATTGGCAAAGGAAAACGCCAACAACAATAAATAAATAAAACAGACCTGAGGAT